GGTGGCTGTTCGGGAGGAGGACGGACCGACATTGATGCATCTTTTCCTCTCCTCTCTCCTTATTCATAACATTCTCTGCTACTGAGCAATCGAAAGTGTAGGAGAACAAAGCCGCCGTGTAGCCAAGTGTCGTACTGGTTAACAATGAACTCCATGATTTCTTCTTGTCGTGTCAAGCAATTGCAGATGAACCAGCGAACAAAAACAAAGCTTGTGCAATGCGCGAGGCTGAAATCCCCTAGTTGCACAAACCCTAGGTCGGCCGGCGGAAAAGGAACCCCGCAACACAATAAACCAAGTTTTCTATTTGCACACAATCTTATACCCGTTATATATACCCAAAAATACCCCTTTTATCCCCCCCTCCTACAGTCCCCCCCCTCCCCATTCTCCCTACTTTCATTTTTCTTCCATTCATCATCTTCATCAGATTCATTTTTTTCACTTTCCTTTTTATCATCTTGCGTCATCTTTATTCCCTTTCACCATCTCCCAACTTTATCATTTTCATCTTCATCATTTTTCATCTTTCCCACTTCATCTTTCATTTTAGATTTGTCGGAGATGGATGGTCGCCGGAAAATTAAATCGGAAATGAACAACTGTCGGATCTATTGTGTGTATAATATATAAAAATCGTCTGTGACTTTCTGAAAGTTGAAATTTTTTGTCGGTGTGAAGAAATAAATCTGAAAAACTATAACTAAAAGTCATCGGAATTATTGTCGGTGCCGTCTTATAAAATTGTTTGTGAAGTTAGGCAATCGAAAAAAATTGTTTGTGTGCAGACATCCGTTTTTGTGCTTTTATTGCAGAGATAACAATGTGTGTGGTATAGAAACCGATGTCTGTGTACAAACAATATTTCGTCTGTGGCACATGAGAAATGTCAGTAGTTGTATATTTTTTTTATCTGTAGCACCTAAGAAATGTATGTAATAGAGTAGAATTATTATTATTTATTATTGTGGGACTTATATTGTAATATTGAACTCTTTCTATTATAAATATATCTGCCAGGGCTACCATTAAGGTTAAGCCTGGTATTATTTTCCACATGGTATCAAGAGCCAAATCTAAAAATCCCTAAAAAAATTTCGGCCGCGATGTCTTCTTCCGCGCCTAACATGACCGCCGCGATGTCTTATTCAACCCCTTCTTCTTCTTCTGCTGTGGCTTCAACGTTGGGACTCTCTTCTTCCACAACTCCGGCTATGACGTCAGTTGAGTCTTCCGTTGCACCAGCGTCCGACTTCTTCTCTCAATCGCAGGCAGACTCCTCCACATGCGTCTCTCTATTCTCGGCACCACTGGTTTTCTCGCAACCATGGATGCCGCCGCCTCAATCGACGGATTTCAGTGCCTGGACACCACCTATTTTCACCTGGACTCCGACATCTCCTGTTGTTCGACCTCCAGTGTCGCCAGTGCTCTCACTTGGACAGAACCCATCTTCGTCTACTGCCTCTACATCAAACTTTGCAGGCCCCACGTTTGCCAAGGCACCGGGAATTACGCCGACAGCCTCTCCCGGTCCGATTGCTCCTCGAACTGCTGCTGCCAGTACATGTTTACTCTTATCTAATTTAGTTAAGAGTATTGGTTTTCCTGCCCTAAAAATTACCAATATTGTGACAACAAAACTGGTTGCGGTAGAAGATTATTTGACTTGGCGTACTCAATTAGAGTCCTTTTTGGTGTCCAATAGCTTTTTGGGAATTTTAGATGATTCGATTCCTGTTCCTCCTTCCTATGTTTTTGATGCCTTTCATCTTGAGACAATTAATCCGGATGATTGCAATTGGCTTAAACTTGATCAAACGGTGTGTTCCTGGCTATTCGCCACTCTGTCTCGTGATGTTTTAATTGAGGTGCATGATTTAAAGAATGCTTCTGTTATTTGGAGTCGGCTAGAGTCTCATTTTATGTCTGCCAGTCTTGCCCGGTCCATGGAACTAAATCATCAGCTGTCTCGTTCTAAGAAGGGTCCTAATCAATCTATGGATCACTATCTCAGAGACATTAAAGACATTGTTGATAACCTTCCCTCAATTAATGATCATATTGCTCCCCGTGATCCGTTTAAAACAATTTTAATGGGTTTGGGCCGTGACTATGAGTCCCTTATTACATCGGTTGGTTTGTTTCCAGAGAGTTTCAGCTTTGAAAAATTGTGTACTTGCTTGATTGAAAAGGAACAAACTATTCAGTACATGCGTACCTTGGAAGAACCTGTACAGGCTCAAGCTTTTGCGGGACAAGCACAGGCCGCGGGGCAAGCACAGGCTGCGGGGCAGCCACCTCCACGTGGCGGGCAGCAGCACCGTGGGAGAGGTTATCGCGGTCGGGGCAGCCGCGGACAGCGGGGAAGAGGGGGTTGCGGTCAGCGTGGCCGCGGTTATGCACCACCTCCAGGATATGGTTTTCCTCCACTGATGGGCTATGGCTATCCTCCTCCAGACTATGTTCCAATGGGTGCTCCTCACGCAGGAATTCTTGGGTCTCTGGGCTCGGCAGGTATATCTGTTCAGTCACATGTTCATACTTATGCTTTATCTGCTTGTTGTACTAACCGTGACTATGCCGGCTCTACATCTGGTGAGGGGAATTCTGTTCATCCCCTTGTAGTTTGTTAGATTTGTTATGCTCCAGGTCATCCTGCCTCTACTCGTCCTTCTCGTTTTGTTCACCCGGCTTCTCCTGCTCTTGCTGCCCACGTCCCTGAAGCCTCTGACTTTGTGTGGTATCCTGACTCAGGCGCCTCTACCCATATGACTCCTCATCCAGGTATCTTAACTAATAAAACATTTTCTCCCAACTCTCATTCCATTATAGTGGCTAATGGTACTTCTCTCCCAGTTATGCATACTAGTGAGGCTGTTTTAAATTCCTCAGCTCGTCCTCTTCACCTAAAATCTATTTTTCATGTTCCTAATATAAAATATAATCTTCTGTCCATTCATAAATTATGTGCTGATAACAACTGTGTTGTAACTTTTGATAAAAATTGTTTTTCTGTAAAAGACAAAACAACGGGGGTGGTTCTTCTTCGAGCGGTCAGTGATAATGGAGTCTATCCCGTTCGTCAGCCTGCACCTTCACCAGTTGCCCTTTCAGTTGCTTCCTTTTCCCTTTGGAATAATAGACTAGGACATTGTGGTACTCGTGTTTTAGATCAACTTAGAATAAATAATTTAATTTCTGGTACTTCTGCTTCAGTTTCTGATTGTATTCCCTGTCGTTTGGGAAAGTCACAACGATTACCTTTTAATAAAGTTTTTCACAACAGTCCGTGTGCTTTATACTTAATTCATTCTGATGTTTGGCAATCTCCTGTGCTCTCTCATCTTGGATTTAAATACTATGTATGCTTTGTGGATGATTTTTCTCGTTTTACCTGGTTATATCCTATGCGGCGCAAGTCTGAGGTCACTACTCATTTTCATCATTTTAAGTTAATGATTGAAAATTTACTTCACCGCAAAATTAAGATTTTTCAAAGTGATGGAGGGGTTGAATTTGATAATTTTCTTATGCAGAATTTTTTTAATGACTTTGGAATTATTTTTCAAAAATCTTGTCCTGAAACTCCGCAACAAAATGGTGTTGCTGAGTGCAAACATCGTCATTTAATAGAACTAGCGCGTATTATGGTCATCACCGCCAATTTACCAGCTCAGTTTTGGGTTGATGCTGTTCTTACTGCCACTTTTATAATAAATTGGTTACCCTCTCCTACTCTACATGGTCTGTCTCCGTATGAAAAATTATTTCAATCTGCACTGGATTTATCTGGCATGCGTGTTTTTGGTTATGCTTGTTTTCCCAATTTTAATGCCACTTCAGCAAATAAACTTTCGCCACGGTCTGTTCAGTGTGTTTTCTAGGATATGCATCTGAATATAAAGAGTATCGTTGTCTTGATCCTATTTCTGGTCGGGTTTATATTAGCAGAAATGTCAAATTTCTAGAAAATGTTTCTCCATATTCTAAGTTAACAGGTGCTACATTGTCTTCGTCTAGTATGTTGCCTTCCACCGCTACCTTAGTTCCCACACGCACCACTGCTCATTCCAATTCCCAGGCTGCTGCAACTTCTAATTCCCTTAGTCCTGCTGGTGTTTTGTTCCCAAACCTGCTGCAATTTCTTCTACCCAATACTCCCAGACAGATTACACTACAGCACCTACTTCCACGCCTGACAACAGTCCTCCAACCGAAATAATCCTCCAGCCCAGTGCTATTACACCTGCCCGCAGCCATTCATCAAACACACACGCCCAACCCTGTTGCCATTCCAGCCCACTGGCCGAAACTTCTAACCAGACCTGCTGCCTCCCCTTAACCGAAATTCCAGCAACATCCACCTCCCTAGCCGACAGCAGCTCACAACCCCTCAATTAATTCCACCGTGTGACACCCCAAAATTTCAAAAATAAAAAAAAAACCATTTAATAATAACATTTTATCTAATAAAATATACCGAGTACAATAATAACAACATATACTTCCTCCTTTCTTAAATAAGTGCAACAGTCAACATTTCACATTTGCCGAGACACAACTTTGACAATTAATATATATAAATCTCTATTAGTAAAAAAATCAAAAAAATCAGATTTTGAAAATTTGCAATGAGACAAATTTAGTAATATTTTTTTCAAAAATATATATTAATACATTAATATATAAAATGTAGTCAAAGTAGAACATGTGAATAGTGTAAAATTTGGTATGTTGCACTTATTTAAGGAAGTAGTATATAATAATATGCCACACATGCACGTTTGTGCGTTACTAGATTATAATAACCGGCCAGTACTAATAATAATGAATATAAATAATACGGAGTAAATACTACCTAGCTAATATATACGGTTCATACATGTTAAAATGTGCGAAAACCCTAGCTGATGCAAGGAGTGTGTAAACGGACAGTCTAGAATTTTCCCGACCTACGTATAAATACCTAGCAATAGAAAAGGGGTTCTCCAGGCCGAAAACAAGTCTGCGGCGACACCATATACACTACGTACATACGACCTACGGTATGAAGGTCATTCACGATCGACGATCTACGAAGAAAGGAAACAAGAAAGAAAGAGCACGTAGAAGCCAGAAATCGCCCTAGTGAAGTAGCCGATTCGCCGCAATTCTGTTTCAGGTTCGCCGGTGAAGAAGACCCAGTTGTACACCAAACTGCCGGTTTGGTTACACGTTGAGGAAGAGAACAATGGCGGGTTCACGAGGTGCACCAGGATTGCGGGTTCGTCATGCCGCCGCAGGATTTCTGGACTAGCTATTACGAAGTATATTCTAACGCCGGAAACGCTGAGAAGGCCTACTGGTCTATGACGGCGACGCCTTGCCGCTGATCGCTGGGTCGCCGTAAACTCTTCCCTGGTTCTGCCGTCTGACGGTTCCCGGTCGCGGGATTACATGAGGAAGAAAGTACGGGTACTCCGATCCTATTCTTCTGTGCTACGTACTTTGCTTATTTTGGATAATTATATATGGACTATTAAATTACGGAGTATTGTTGAGGTAAGCAAATAAAAGCAATTAATAATAAATTGGGTAACGATAAGTAAAGGATTAGATTAGTTATTAACTTTAGAATTTTAATATTTAGAAGGTGAATTTGGAGAAGACTGAGGTAGAAGCTTCGATTAGGAGTTATCGTGATTTGAGGTAAGTTCTACGTCAACCAAAATTTTACTTTCCTCGTAAATCTATATATGATTATTTATTGAAATTATTTGAGTACTTTGTGAGATTTCTTGCATTTACATTTATACTTCGTATTTGGGTATTTAGAATTATTTATGGATTGTTATTGAGGATTATATTTGAGTTTTGAGTATTGAATATTGTGTGATATTTTTGAGTATTTGAAGTTATATATGTATGAATCATTATTGGGATTGAGATTTGATCTATTTATGAAGTATTCTATATTTTGATCATGTTGGGAAATTTCGAGTTTAAAGTTTAAAGGATCAATCAACTCTTATTTTGGAAATTTATGTCTATGTATAATATGAGATTTCGAAAGCTATTAGAGATTAAGATATTTTGAACTACATGGTGAAATTGTGTTTTGAAATCCAAGGATAATAATCCTTATTCTAAAACTATATCTATGAATAATAGATATAGAATTTTCGAAAAGTAATCAAGATAAAAAGAACCTTTCAATGTAAGGACGTCGCGGGAGAAATCCGCGATGTCGGTGTTCTCCACGACCTTGACTGTGGAGAGTGATTAGGGATGCTACTATTTGCTTGGTGGGTTCGGTAACCAATCCGAACAATTAAAATAAATGATTTTGGTGTGTTCGGTAGAAAAATCCCGAACGATAGATATTTGGTGGATTTTGGCAGTAGTAGGAGTAACCTAGTCACTTCTATAGGGTAATCCCTTTTTGGTGGAGTAGGGGGACGTTGACGTCCGAACTACTTGGGCTTCTTACTACCCGTAGGTCTTGGAATCCCTTTCAGGGGGTGTGCACACTTAAGGTAGAGGTTCAGTTTCCTCAGGTTAGAAGTGGTACCGGCAAAAGTCCCGGGGTGGCCGTACATAACAACGGACCATCGGGCTCAATAAAATATTGAGCACCGCCCTTCAAATGTATTAGGAGTACAAATAATATTGGGATTCATGTTTTGAGGTTTTGAGGATAATTATATTTGATTGGATTGGATTTGAGTTGTTGGATTATTGGATTGAATTTGAGTTGGATTAAATTATCAAATTATTGTGGAATTTCAAAGTACAAATACTTTTGGATTTAATTCGGTTTGATTATGCTAATATTGATTATGAGTGTTTGGAAGTATTTTGAGAATGATTTTTTTGTACTTTATGTATATTTGGTATTTTGTAATTATTGGGGTTTGGAAATATTTACTTATATTTGAAATACTATTATTTTATTAGTGAATGATGTTATGAGAAGATTTTACAAATTGTTTTAAAAATATTATTCCTCCCAAATGTTTTTTTCAAGAATATTAAATTATATTATTTTATGGGGTTAGGTGGAACTTACTTAGCATTGTTGCTAATTTTTGTTTTCTTTTGTTTTTTTTCTTTCTGTACTTAATTTGTACAGGTGACGCTTGATGATCATGTTGATTTCGAGAGAGCTTCCGCTAGAAAATGTAATTAGTAGATAACATCGTAGTTTAATTTAATTTTCAAGACACTTATTGAGTTTAATTTTTTCTGTGGTGATTAGCTTGTGCACTCGGTTAGGTTAGAGTCGAGTGTGACGGTAACACTCATATTTCCCTTTTTGGTTTTCCGCTGCATAACTCTGATGTTTTCAAATAAAGTTGATATTTCTTTTGAATAAAGTATTATTTTTGGGTGGGAAATTTGGGGGTGTTACACACCGCCCCGGTTGGTAATGTGCATCCAATGCAAACCCGGTCTAAATCCGGTATTTTTAAACCAAAAACTATTTTTTTTACTTTAAACACAGTTGTTAGCACACTTGTTTTTCTAACCACTTGTTTTTCTATAGCAAATAAACATCTCAAGTGGAGAACCGCTATGGCTGAGGAATTTCATGCCCTTATCTCTAATAATACATGGGATTTAGTACCATTTGATGCTAAAATAAATGTGGTTGGGTCAAAATGGGTCTGTGGAACGCTACAAAGCAAGGTTAGTTGCTCAGGGGTTGAATCAGCAGGCATGTATTGATTTTACTGAAACATTTAGTCCTGTTGTTAAACCCACTACTGTTCGTCTTGTACTTACCTTAGTTGTGTCTTTTGATTGGCCCATTCGCCAACTTGATGTTAAAAATGTCTTTCTTCATGGTAATTTAACTGAGGAAGTATATATGCGTCAGCCTCCAGGTTTTGTTCATCCTCAGTTTCCCCATCATCTGTGTCGGCTTCGTAAAGCCATTTATGGTCTTAAACAAGCACCCTGTGCATGGTTTCACCGTTTTAACAGTTTTCTTCTCTCTCATGGTTTTGCTTGCAGCCGGTCTGATAATTCTTTGTTTATTTTTCGACGTAATTCTGGTATTATTTACCTGCTACTTTATGTTGATGATATCATTGTTACATGTAATTCTCTTAAACTAGTTAATCATTTTTTATCTCTATTGAATAAATGCTTTTCCATGAAGGACTTGGGAGATTTACATTTTTCCCTTGGCATTCAGGCTTCTTGTACTCTCTCTGGTCTGTTTCTTTCTCAGCAAAAATATATATCTGATCTTCTTCATTGTTTTTATCTCCATACTTTAAAACCTGTACGTTCACCTCTTCCTAGTCTTACTAAACTTTCCCTTACTGATGGAGAGCTCCTAGCTGATGCCACGGAGTACAAGAGTATGGTAGGTGCATTACAGTATTTGACTTTGACTAGACCAGATATTACTTTTGTTGTACACCTGGTTTCTCAGTTTATGCATGCCCCACACACTTCACATATGTTGGCTGTTAAGCGTGTTTTTTAGGTATCTCTAGGGAACATCCACTCATCGTCTCCTCTTACAATCTTCGCGCGGCTCTACAGAGGTCATTGCTTATTCTGATGCTGATTGGGCTGAATGTCCTGACACAGGCAGATCTACTTCAAGTTATGCGATTTTTCTGGGACCCAATCTTATCTCCTGACGGTCAACGAAGCAGCTCAGTGTCTCCCGCTCTTCCACAGAAGCTAAATATAGAGCCATAGCTTACACAGTGCAGGATACTCTTCACATACGATCAGTGCTGTTTGAATCGGGCTTTCCTGTTCGCGTTCCGACTACTCTGTACTGTGATAATGTATCTGCTTCCTATCTGTCTGTTAATCCTATCCAGCATGCCAGGAGTAAGCATATTAATATTGACTGACACTTTGTTCGTGAACGAGTTGCTCATGATGATCTACGGGATAAGTATGTTCCCACACAGGCTCAGCTGGCAGATATTTTTACTAAGTGTTTGTCGCCACAACGTTTTACTCTTCTTCGTGACAATCTGCGCATTGTTTCCCCTGCACAGTTTGAGGGGGTGTAATAGAGTAGAATTATTATTATTTATTATTGTGGGACTTATATTGTAATATTGAACTCTTTCTATCATAAATATATCTGCCAGGGCTACCATTAAGGTTAAGCCTGGTATTATTTTTCACAGTATGTAGTTGAATATTTTTTTGCCTGTGCCGAACATCCTTTGTCCGGGTCAAACACTTTTTGGTCTGTCTCGAACATTTTTTTGTCTATCGCAAAAAAAAAAAACAGACAAAAAAATGTTGTATTGGTTTCTGTGTCACACACTATCATCTCTCTAAAAAGGTACAACTTCACGGACAACTTTATAAGAAGACACAAACAATAATTCTGGCGATTTTTCTTCTCCGGTTTGTTTCCGATAATTTTTAATTAGTCTTTCAGTTTATTTCTTCATACAGACAAAATTTATCAACTTTTAATTAGAAAGTCACAGACGCGCGATTTTTATATATTATTCAAACAATAATTTCAACGGCTGTTCATTTTCGATTTGGTTTTCCGGCGATCATCCATCTCCGACGAATCTAAAAATGAAAGATGAAGTGGAAAAGATGAAAAATGATAAAGTTGGGAGATGGTGAAAGGGATTAAAGATGACAGATGATAATGGAAGGTGAGAAAAATAAATGTGATGAAGATGATGAAAATTGAAGAAAAAGAAAAAAAGAAGAATGGGGAGGGGGATCCGTAGGAGAGATGGAGGGAAAGGGGGGAAGGGGATTTATTTATATATATGTATAGAGTAATCTTCCGGTCAGGAAATTCTTGACCGGAGCGCCGTCCGGCCTCCTCCTTTTGGGGGCCTTCCCGGTGGTATTTTTTGCTCCAATTTTTTGGGTATGTTCCTCATCAAATCTAGTTCATCCATACCAAATTTCATCAAAAAATTCGATAGGAAAGTGCCCGAAATGCCCTCGGCCGGACGGCGGTTCCCGTCAGGCCGGCTGGACAAGAACGGGACTCTATATATACATAGTGGATTTAAGAGTGAGTATAAAAGTGTGTACAAATAGCAAAATTGTTTTACTACATCTTTATGTTTCAACACACAATAGTACGGAGTAATATGTTGAATGCGATGATGCTGTACTATTAGATGGTGACCCTGATAGAGGTTGACTTTTTGAAATATATTTTAAGTGACATAAGACAAAATTAGAGTATAATTATTTTGTTTACATTTTTTATAAATTATCTTATAAATAGTGATAGACGTTTGAAAAAAATAAAAATAAAAAACATGTAGATAGGTTTGTGAATTAGGTATTTACAAGTACTAGATTTATAGAAAAAATGATGAAATATAGGTTAAAAGTGATTTTGAAAATGAAACATGCGAAAATTGGGAACCATATAAATCCTACATAAAAACCGCGAGATGAAAATTAGGCCCACTTGCAAAGATAAAGAGAGGCAACCTATATATGGAAAATGTTCTGATGTTACAAGATTCGAATTGGAGATATGTCAAAAGTAGATTTTTATATATAAATGGTTCCTTGTAAGAAATGACAAAGCATCTTTGAATAATGACAAAGAAAAGGAATATGTGGTATCTTGTGGGGAATTACAAAGAATAACATGTCATGGTTAACTATATGTACAAAAGGAAGCTCTCATTCAAGTCACATTGACAGTTTTCAAGCGTAACAACCATGATACACCTCATGGTATGAGAATATATTAGTGATTCTTTGTCTTTTAATTAATTGCTTTGACTTGTAGAAACTGTAATAACCATGTTAAAAAATATATTTGTTTCTTCTTATATAGAAAAATCACAAATAACAATCATAAATCAATCAATCCTGATGGTCAACGAAGCAGCCCACTGTCTCCCGCTCTTCCACAGAAGCTAAATATAGAGCCATAACTTACACAGTGCAGGATACTCTTCACATACGATCAGTGCTGTTCGACTTGGGCTTTCCTGTTCGCGTTCCGACTACTCTGTACTGTGATAATGTATCTGCTTCCTATCTGTCTGTTAATCCTATCCAGCATGCCAGGAGTAAGCATATTAATATTGACTGACACTTTGTTCGTGAACGAGTTGCTCATGATGATCTACAGGATAAGTATGTTCCCACACAGGCTCAGCTGGCAGATATTTTTACTAAGTGTTTGTCGCCACAACGTTTTACTCTTCTTCGTGACAATCTGCGCATTGTTTCCCCTGCACAGCTTGAGGGGGTGTAATAGAGTAGAATTATTATTATTTATTATTGTGGGATTTATATTATAATATTGAACTCTTTCTATCATAAATATATCTGTCAGGGCTACCATTAAGGTTAAGCCTGGTATTATTTTTCACAGTATGTAGTAGAATATTTTTTTGCCTGCGCCGAACATCCTTTGTCCGGGTCAAACACTTTTCGGTCTGTCTCGAACATTTTTTTGTCTATCGCAAAAAAAAAAACAGACAAAAAAATTGTTTGTGCACAGACATTGGTTTCTGTGTCACACACTATTATCTCTCTAAAAAGGTACAACTTCACGGACAACTTTATATGAAGACACAAACAATAATTCTGGCGATTTTTCTTCTTCGGTTTGTTTCCGATAATTTTTAATTAGTCTTTCAGTTTATTTCTTCATACAGACAAAATTTATCAACTTTTAATTAGAAAGTCACAGACGTGCGATTTTTATATATTATTCAAACAATAATTTCAACGGTTGTTCATTTTCGATTTGGTTTTCCGGCGATCATCCATCTCCGACGAATCTAAAAATGAAAGATGAAGTGGAAAAGATGAAAAATGATAAAGTTGGGAGATGGTGAAAGGGATTAAAGATGACAGATGATAATGGAAGGTGAGAAAAATAAATGTGATGAAGATGATGAAAATTGAAGAAAAAGAAAAAAAGAAGAATGGGGAGGGGGATCCGTAGGAGAAATTCTTCCGGTCAAGAATTACCGGTCAAGAAATTCTTGACCGGAGCGCCGTCCGGCCTCCTCCTTTTGGGGGCCTTCCCGGTGGTATTTTTTGCTCCAATTTTTTGTGTATGTTCCTCATCAAATCTAGTTCATCCATACCAAATTTCATCAAAAAATTCGATCGGGAAGTGCCCGAAATGCCCTCGGCCGGACGGCGGTTCCCGTCAGGCCGGCTGGACAAGAACGGGACTCTATATATATAGTGGATTTAAGAGTGAGTATAAAAGTGTGTACAAATAGCAAAATTGTTTTACTACATATTTATGTTTCAACACACAATAGTACGGAGTAATATGTTGAATGCCATGATGCTGTACTATTAGATGGTGACCCTGATAGATGTTGATTTTTGGAAATATATTCTAAGTGACATAAGACAAAATTAGAGTATAATTATTTTGTTTACATTTTTTATAAATTATCTTATAAATAGTGATAGACGTTTGAAAAAAATAAAAACAAAAAACATGTAGATAGGTTTGTGAATTAGGTATTTACAAGTACTAGATTTATAGAAAAAATGATGAAATGTAGGTTAAAAGTGATTTTGAAAATGAAACATGCGAAAATTGGGAACCATATAAATCCTACATAAAAACCGTGAGATGAAAATTAGGCCCACTTGCAAAGATAAAGAGAGGCAACCTATATATGGAAAATGTTCTGATGTTACAAGATTCGAATTGGAGATATGTCAAAAGTAGATTTTTATATATAAATGGTTCCTTGTAAGAAATGACAAAGCATCTTTGAATAATGACAAAGAAAAGGAATATGTGGTATCTTGTGGGGAATTACAAAGAATAACATGTCATGGTTAACTATATGTACAAAAGGAAGCTCTCATTCAAGTCACATTGACAGTTTTCAAGCGTAACAACCATGATACACCTCATGGTATGAGAATATATTAGTGATTCTTTGTCTTTTAATTAATTGCTATGACTTGTAGAAACTGTAATAACCATGTTAAAAAATATATTTGTTTCTTCTTACAGAGAAAAATCACAAATAACAATCATAAATCAATCACTCGAGTCGCAGTTGGAGCCATAGTAGGAGGGTCTTCACTCATATACTACGCCTCCAATGGTAATGATTCAAGTAATCATATAATCCTTTCACCCCCATAACATTATTTTTTACTTAGTTTTGTATATCCCATTATATTTGTGCTTGAATTGTTGTTTAACGAGTTATGACATACTATATTACAGTTTATATTTCTCAAGGATCAAGAATACTAAAAAGTATTTTCTATCAATGTTTTTAAAGTGGTTGCCTAATCTATAAGTTTATATATATTTGGTAAGAGATTTATGTTGTAACATGTAACATGATCCTTTTCATTAATGAGAAGCGTATGTTATTTCAGTTTCAGTTCTCAATCCATCACAACACATGTTGAGATGCAAATGGAGTAATATGCAAGACCAAGACTTGTTCTACCCTGCATTCTCTCATTCGGGAGCTTCACAAAATAGTATGTATATTACTATATACTAATTTTGAAAATTGAAATACCACTTCACATTTAAATAGCTTGTTCTGTTCTTAACACTCATATTTGGGGTTAGTATTACTCCCTCCATTCCACTATAATTGTCTCATTTTTTCTTTTCCCCCCGTCTCACTAAATTTATCGCATACCATGTTTGATAGTATTTGTGTGGCTCGAATTCATTCTTCCTTTATTCTCACTTAATTAATTCATCATCAACCATATAACACTACTTTTCATAAAAACCACACCACACTCCTTTGTCCCAATCTTAAGAGGACGGATGTAGACGGATGTAGTATATCAGTATATGTTTTTCACTATTATGACCCTTTCAGTTCACCTATTTTAATTGATAGTTTGATATTCTACTTGATGCATGTAGGCAACTGGTTTCTTCCATTTTTCATTTCAAGAACAAGTTTTGACGCATCACCATCATCATCAACATCATCATCATCATCATCATCACCACCACCACCACCACCACCTCCGCTGCCGCCGCTACCACCACCACCACCATCATCATTTGATATAAAGAAAAAAATATCCCTGGCGGTTCATGGTGGTGGTAGTACAAAACACTACCCCCGTAGTAAGTGTCTCACTCGAAATACAATTGCCAATGCAGCTGCAAGTGTTAATCCTGCTGTAGTGACTATCAATTTCCGGTAATATTTTCACCTACTTTTTATTTCCAAATCCATGTTTGTTAATATATATTTTGAAAAGTTCTAGATAGACATGATAAGAGGATTTATTAAAAGAAGTATTTGTGTTTCACTTTTTCATGCATTTCTTGAATGAAATATACCAACATGTGTTTAAAATAAAGTGATCGAACTAAACTTAGAAGTATATAAGTGCCTATGTGGTAATAATAAAATATCGGTGAAATACCAGATCGATTCACAGAAGAATTATTGATATTATTATGTTTGAGATTTGGATACAAAGTAAAGAAATAAGTAAAGTTATATACGTTTTCTTCTTTGTTGTTGGATTTAATGAGAGTGAGAATTAAAAAAGCGGCCCGGATTAAACGAACACTTTAATAGAGTTTAATACTAGTTCTATGTCGCTAAAAATTATAGTGGTAATAAATATATTAAAAATAAAAGTGGTAGTAGTTGCGTAGTATATAATAGTAGTAGTAGTTATATAAAATAAAAGTAAATATAGTTTCTAAATTATTTTCCAAAACTTATTAAAAAATAAAAGAAATAAAGTTATTGTCAATATATATACTTTTAAATTCATATTCTCAAGGGAAATTTCCCTAAATAGGAGTAAACAACTTTGGAAATTCCAAAATAGGAACACTATGTTATTATTCCCGAAATATGAGTCGTTACTTTCATGACTGAAAAATACTGTCATTAATTTTAATAAGTACTGCCATGTTGAATGCATAATATTGCAACTATTTGGTAGTATGAATAAAATATGGCAGTAAATACTGCCATCTTAGTCCTATTTCGGAAAGAAAAACATAGAAGTACTATTTTGGAATTCCAAACTCTATTTAGTCCTATTTTCGGAAATCTCCCTATTCTTAATAATGGTCATTTCGTATCTTAATAGCTAATTGCAAACATCTAAATTACTATACAGTTTACTTCAAACCACTAATGAAAGTGGCCGGTCAAAGAATCCGCTAGTTCAATTGGGTATTAGCTAGTAGCTAACCGTTGATTGTCAAACACCCTTATTGATATTTTCCGTGTTCCAATTATCATGACAAATTACAATAGAAGAACTAATAATGTCAATATCACAATACTTATGATTAAATGTAGAGATTTCTAAGGTCGAGGTCTAGAAGTTTCTCATTCACTCCCAAAAACTCAAAAAGTTTACCAATATGTCACCAGGGTATTTTTTTTACCAATTTGGTAGGCTTCCTTTTCGTTACCAATTTGGTAATTTGGTGTATGTAGTGTTCTAAAAGAGTTTATAGGTGCACCAAACGCCCCACATGCCCTCAAAGAGTTTATATGACATGCTAAGCCATTAAAATCCATTAAGATTTCGAAAAGAATTAATAAAATGTGCAGTTGTATACCATGAGATAGTCCATGATGAGAATCTTACTCCCACAACTAACACGCGTGAACAATAAATTTTTAAGTAGCAGATTGATGTAACTCGTGTGTAAAGAAATGTAACTCAAGTGGATATGATATGTAACTGGAGACAAATAGAAATATAACTTGTCTAATACAGAGTATAAGATATAAAGCATTGATTTCAATGTAAATAATGAAAAGAAGAGTCTAATTATTCAACTACTTTACATAAATAGTAAATATGTTTTGTTTTTAATATCAGGTCTATAAAAAATGATTTAAAAAATCCTTCTTTAAAAGATATGTTTTGTTTTGTGATGTAGCTCGCATTAATGTAAAATCTAACTTATGTGTATGCAAAATGTAAGTTGTTGAGGCAAGTAAAAATGTAACTTGTACACCAAAAGATGTAACTTGAGCATAAAAAGATGTACTCACACATAATAAAATGTAACTCACACATAAGAAGATGTAACTCGCGCATGAGAACATGTAACTCGCGTACATCAAGATATAAATCACGCATAAGAAGATGTAACTCCATATACTATCAAATGTAACTCAGGGAATCGAAATAAACAAACTCAATTTCTTAAACAATCTCTAAAAGCATACAAAAGAGATTAAAAATATTATAGAGAAAAGTGTATGAATATAAAAAATATATTTGTGTATGTATATAAAAAAATATTACAGAAATAAAAATAGTGTATGAAATGATAAATAATAAAAAACAGATTGAGTTATAATTTAAGTTGAACATAAGTAAAAGTAAAACTGCAATTACATTTTAGTACTTTGATGGAGAAGGAAAAAGAATAAATAGTCAATGCAAGGAAAAGGGTGATGCACTCCACTACTCTATTGAAGAAAAATAAAGAGTGGAATATGTATTAGTAAGATCGGTACACCGTTGACAGTTTGGCATGATGTAATTATCCCAAACGTAGAACGGTAAACTTGGAATATTATGATATGCACAACGGATAGGACAAGCTTTAGTTGGCTCTTTAACTAGGCCCGCAAGAGATTTTTGTAACAATAATATCCAAACAGAGAAAAACGCGGATGTCTCCCTCTCCGTAGGGTTTGGTGTATCCCGCCGTTCGCGTGCGGGTTCTCCCTCTTCGTAGGGCTTGAGCATGCATCGGGATCGAAGGAGGACGATTGCAGATGGAGATGACTGGCATCGAGATTGAAGGAGGTCGATTGCAAAGGATTGGCAATCGGCGAAGTGAGGCTATAACGATGGGCAAATTCCAAGAGCAGATCAGCGGTGAACAAAAGGACAAAGACGAATTGGCGATTGATGATGATGAAGAAGAGGCGGTCGAGTCGGAGGAAAACCACTTTGGTGCGACAATAATCGTTGTGATGGCCCGGCCTCCTCCAGAACCACCGCCAAGGGTTGATCGCCGCGTTTTGGAGTTTGCTTATTTATTTTTCTGCATTTTAATTTTCACGTTAAGACGTTTGTGTTTTGTTGTTATTTTATTTCATGCTGTTAGACTTTTGCACTTGGTTTGGGGGATGAGAGGCATGCGGTAATCGTCGTTGGCTTTAATTTGCCCAAGTTAGGTCTAGCGAGTTATATTGCTTTGTCCAAGGTGATTAACTCAGAGTGTCGACCAATGGCGGATGGTTACATGTGGTCCTTACGCTATCTTTCATCCCGGCTGAATGCTATTTTATCAATATAAGCACCCTTCGTTAAAAAAAAACTAGGCCCGCAAGAGTGACTTCTTTATTCCAAAAGGTTGAATCCCCAATCCTAAAGGTCCCCCGCCCCGACATGACATATGTAAGGTTGTAAATCACAACGATCCAGTAAGCCCAACAGTGGTAGACTTTATATCCGTGCGCAACTGAGGTTTATCCTAGCACACAGGCCGGAGCTGTAACCTCCACACAACTGTTGCGGATTTTGATCCTCGGTCATTCTTCCAACTTTCTTATTACTCGACCAAATGGGCTACCCGTGCAGATACATTGACTTCTTTATATAGAGAGCATTAAGGTGGAATTATTCCTGTGAGAAAATGAAACTAGCTTATTTAAAAAGTAAAAAAAATAATAAAAATCATAAAACCTTTTCCCACTTGAATCTCACCTAATTTCGCTTAGACTTTTAAGGCTTGAAAATTGATCATGTCACTTTATCATGTCTTACGCTTTTTAGAACATTGATGACATATAAAATTTCATTTCCATGTTTCATTGGACTTTTGGAGAGGGAGCTTAAGGAGATGGATGAAGAAAAAAATAGATGGATAGATGAAGAGTCCGTTTGGTAATAGCCAAATCGGCTGTATTGGTTGGTTCCGCTGAAATTTATGAAGTTCTGGCTGATGTGGTTGTATTGGCTGATTCTACTGATTTGAGAAAAAAAAAAATTAAAATACATTTTATTAATAAAATAAAGAAAAATTATATGAAAAAATAGCTAAAATTGCCCTCTACAATAAATTCAGCCAATACAGCCAGAAAAGTAACTTCAGCCTTACCTTTTCTTATTATCATACGATTCAACCTGTAAAATCAAAAGTTGACTTGAAATATATATAAAAAAGCGTTTCTCGGCTTTTGGCTTAAAAAAGCTAAAATTAGTTATTTCATGTGACAACTTCTACTTAAAAAGCGTTTCTCGGCTTTTGTGCAAAAAACACTTATTTACCAAACACTGCCAACTTTTACTTTTCAAAATAACTTTTTTCTCAAACACTATCAACTTTTACTACTAATCACTTTTTCCAAAATCACTTCCAAAAGTGCTTTTTTTAAGCAGAAGCAGTTCTAAACACTCCCTTACAAGCCTGAAAAGCCAAAAATCATGCCTACTAAAGGGGCACGAAAAGTATCCGCTCATATCTTGTTGTAGATTTTGGGGTTGTTTGGTAAATGACGTTTCAACCAAAAAATGGCGGTTTGACCACTTTTAGCGTTTTCGATGAGTGAAAACATTGTTTGGGAAATAGTGGTTCGACACTAGCATTTTTGGACGGAACCCGCCAATTTTATCCCGTTGGTCAAACCCGCTGGTTGAATCCACTATTAACAACCCGCTAGCATAACCCGTTAACCGCTAAATGCCAAAAACGCCCTTTTATCTCACATTTGTCTCGCTTATTACTTTCTGGTTGATTGACTTAGTGATTTGCGTTTGAAAGGTTCTCAAGGATCTGGTACAATCATTGACAAAGATGGAACCATATTAACTGCTGCTCACGTGTTGTTCGATAGCTCTCCCGGGTCGAGCCTCGTCCAAAGGCCCGGTTTGGTAATCATCTTTCTTATCTATCACATTGATTTTACCAAATGGAAAATACATTTGTACCAATTTTTATACATATGAAAGTTAGAAAACTCTTCACACAAAACTAAAGTCTGTGCATAATTACATAAACATTGGTGTGCATACCACTCACATTAATTTCCACGCTCACATATACAATTTACAAGAATGACATTTTTTATTCCATAAAAACCAATGACATTTATTAGTTATATATATGCATTGTAGCCTTTGTAGGTATTACCATGAAGTACCTTTTACCGTAATAATCACCTTTTTGTAATCAAATTAAAGGACCAGAGTAATATAGAAAACTTACTGAAAGGTCACAAAAATGTAAGGGAAAAGGTTCAAATAGGTCCATGTACTAACCAAAAAAGGTCAAATAAGCCCTTATTTAGGAGGCTCTGTCCGGCCGTCGTCATTTGGGTTGGTTCCCGGTGGATTTTTTTGATGAAAGTTTTTGAGCATCTTATTCATTAAGTCTAGTTTACACATACAAAATTTCAGCTAAAACTTCAATCGGGGAGGCATTCAAATGAATTCTTGAAAATAACTGCACACTTAGAAGCGCAGTTATCTTCAAGAATTCATTTGAATGTCTTCCCGATTGAAGTTTTAGCTGAAATTTGATATGAGTAAATTAGACTTGATGAATAAGATGCTCAAAAAAGTTCATCAAAAAATTCCACCGGGAACCACCCCAAATGACGACGGCCGGATAGAACCTCCCAAATAAGGGCTTATTTGAACTTTTTTGATTAGTACATGGACCTATTTGCACCTTTTCCCAAAATGTAATGCTCGTTAATTGTTTGCAGATTTATGTGACAACACAAGATGGTCGAACTTTTGTGGGTTTAGTGGAAATAGTTGATTCTGAGTTGGATATTGCTATTTTAAAGATACAATCCGAAACTCCATTTCCATATGCAAAACTTGGTACTTCAGCAGAGCTTCGTCCTGGAGACTGGGTGATAGCCATCGGTAGTCCATGTTTCCTAAACAATACCATTACATTAGGCATTGTAAGGTACTTGTACTGGAATGCTAAAAAAAATCTACACATTCTAAGTAATTGTTCTTAAAATATACTCTCTCTTTTCCCCCGAAATTGGAGTCCGGATTAAATCTTCTCCAGATAGGAGTAAACATTAATTTACATCTTTAATATCTCTAACCTAATTAGTTAATACAATCAATTTCCCCACTACTCCCCTTGCATAACCGAACCAGTCTTGGGGTGGTATTGGTACAATATACTGGATATTTTATTTCATATCTTTACCATATCAAAAAAATTAGTATGCAAAAATGCACACTGTTACCTTACCGAAATTTCGGTATACCTTGTTTCGGTATATGAAAACTTCGGTACAGTAAAAGTACAATATCAATAAAATTTCATGATTTACTTTGACTTTAATATAGCAAATTATTATATGCCAACATTACTATTAATAATTAGTGCTATAAGTGATATACTATAATCAGTAAAAGGATTAATTACTAAATATTAACTTTTTTTAACTCGATAGGCAAATGGGGAAGAACATTTGTGGTTTTTTTTTGAAAGGAATGGATTTAATTATCAATAATCGAATCGTTTGCTAACGATGATACAATAAAAGGAGGAGGAGAAAAAAAACCAAAATTGCGAATCAGGCAAAGAACAAGCCGCCCTAGCTAACAAGTGAGCAGGCTTATTCGCTGACCGCTTAACATGACTAAAAGAAATGCTCGAAAAATGCTTCGTCAAATCCTTAATGTCTTCACTTAGTAAACCCACCGCTGAACTGCTCTAGCCATTTAAAATTTCTGAAATTGCTACTGATGAGTCTGAATTAACCTCAACCATTGTACCCCCGAAGTCCTTTAGCCAACTCAAGGCTTCTCTAATGCCTACCAGTTCTGCCACCAATGGTGTCGAGCTCCCTGGCCATTTTCTAGCAGCCCCTGCAATAAAATCAGCATTATGATCTCGAAGACACCACCCAAAGCCACCCTTGTCCCTCCCAACTGCTGCGTCTACGTTGAGTTTCCAAAAGCCCGGAGCAGGCCTGCTCCAAGAAGTGCTGCTTGTCCTACCAGCCTGCTGCCGTCTACCCACGGAGTACCTCTCTTGCACATGTTTCCACCCATCGACCGAAGCTCGTCCTACCTCTCTTGCTCGTCCTACCGCTTAACATTTGTGGTGTTTTATTAATACAAATAGAGTACAAAAAGAAAGGAGACTAGACCAAAACCTCTAAGGAAGCATAAGCCTAAGCCTGACCCAATAAGTACATTAGAAAAAAAAAAGATATATTGGTGTTCTAAAGATAACATATTACAAATAATTACAAAATACTAAAGATAACATATTGATGTTCTATTCAATTTCAAACAAGAAATATTATAAGAAAAAATTGTACTAATGTTACTTTTGAAAAAGCGGTGCACAAAAATAGGACTTAGTAACTATTGATGACTGTAATTGCGACGAATATAAACTTTGAACATGTATCTGAACTTTAATCATATATTCATATCGGTAAAACTTAAACAAATTAGATCACACAACATAATTTTTTTTGTCCAAATAAATATATCTTAAGCCTTACTTTTCAATAAACTCAATTAATGATACGGAGTACATTTATTGACATTCATCGGAGAGAGCATAACTGGCCGAGTGCTAACTGAATGACACATATTGGCACCCCATGTGATGCACCTTCTAAAGTCCATCCACCCCTACCTCTAAAATGGTGGAGCTCTATAATTCCATAGTGAATTGTGAGAGTGTTAGGATGTGTTTTTTTGGACTGTTTTTAGTCTCTGATCAGATCAGATCAGATCAAACAAAACAAGACCAGACCAGACCAGACTTTCATAGTTATAAAATACATAGAGACCAAACGTTTACCAAACCAGATCAAATCAGTTTAGACCAAGTCAGACCAGAACAGACAAGATCAGACCAAACCAACAAATTTCAATCCAAACGAAAACGACCCTACTCAGGAATCTATTTTTATTTGAAAACTACCAAGTGATGTATGATGTATCAAATAGAGGGTGTCCACCAATTAGTTTCTCGATGAATATGATTTCCATTTAATATAGAATTCAATTGTTAAACGAGCCGGGTGATAGAAAATTAAAGTCTAGCTAATAGTGAATGACTCAGAATTTTTTATAAGGAAAATTGGCCCTATAGTACTCATTTACTTCTCATAATCAATTCACTTAAATAACTAAAACTCAGGTGAGAAAACAATCTTCTTTTGTGTGCCTTATATTTATTGGCATGATCAGGGCCGTTTAATAGGTTATCCAGAACAGGGCCCCCAAATTTAAGGGGCCCCATATTTTAAAAAATTATTAGTAATTATATTAATATTAATATAAATACATCATTTTTTTCGTTAGTCATTTTACTCTTTTAGTTCTCTTTTAATGAGTATTCCGTTGATTTGAGTATAAATATTTCGATTGAGATTTTTTAATAATTTTTTATATTAATTTGGGGCCCCGCTTTTACATTTTGAACCGGGACCTCCAAATTCATTAGACGGCCCTGGGCATGATGATATTCTTTTAGTTCTCATGACATTTTTAACTTAATGCAGTTGTGTCAATCGTAAAGGCAATGATACTGGGATAAGTACAGAGTATATACAGGCTGATTGTTCTGTGAATCCGGTAATGCCGAATACTATTTCCATACTTAGCCCATTTTTGCACGAATATCTTCTATTCCAATTTAAAAACTAAACAATGTTAAACACTTAAACGCGTGAAAAAATGAAAGTGGAAGAACATTTTAAGGTTACTAAAAGAGAAATTTAATTTATTTGAAAAAACATAGCACCCCAAAGAAGAAGATGAAACATAGTTGATAGCACCGCTTTATTTGAAATACTCTAAGCTTTGTTATGATGTGATTAACCATCTAAAAATTCATTTGTGAAATAAACAAGATTACATCTGGTTCAATATAATTTTAATTGCATCCTCATAAGTATTTTGTGTATTTAAAATTAGGTACTTAACTCTATTAAATTACATTTGTGAAATATTATATGATCATGGTGCCAACATAATTTTTTATATAAAGACGAGAGTATATATATTACATGTGCAAGTTTGGGGTACTTACCCCACACCAATTCAAAGTTTGGGATATTCAAATTAATAGTAGGTAAGGTAAAAAACGATCCTAAACTGCACATATTAATAGAACTATTTTATTTATTTATTTTTATATATGCAACATTAATGACATATGAAAGATAATAGAAAGTTAAAAATTATGATATATTTTTGTCCATCAGAATACAAATAAAAAAATTACTATAGCACTTTAAGAACAGATGTTTTTTAAAGTTTTAACATATTTTTTTATCTTATATACTATGTATTATGGTATCATATGAAAGATAATAACAATTATGATTTTGGATATACTTTTTGTAACAATCATAGTACAAATAAAAAGTTATACTCCGTATAACTTTAAAAAATAGATGTTTTTTAAAGTGTTAACATATTTTTTTATTTTCGTATATTCAATATTGATGTCTTTTTTTGAAAGATAATAAAAAGTTATACATTTTAATATAATTTTTGTAACAATCAGAGTACAAATGAAAAGTTATAACACTTCAAAAAACATGAGATTTTATTTCGATGGGATCCTAAATAATAGAAGTTGTACGTAGGCATTACTACGATTCCCCTGTAATCTCATAACTTTTAATTGTGTCTACTTTGAGAAAACAGGCAAATAAGCCCTCGAACTATTTGCGTTTTTGCAATGAGGCCCCTAAACCGGGAGAATTACAAATACACCTTTCAGCTCATTGAAAATCAAGCAATCATGTCCTTTTTTACCTACTGGTGCATGTAAGAAGATGAGAAACTACCGACGCCAGTGGGTAAAAAAGGACCCGATTGCTTGATTTTCAATGAATTGAGGGGTGTATTTGTAATTCTTTAGGTTCAGGGGCCTCATTGCAAAAACGCAAATAGTTCGAGGGCTTATTTGCTTGTTTTCTCTGTCTACTTTTAATACTATAGTTATACTCAATTACAAATCTAGTCTGACGATTAATAAATTTTTCTACATTCAGAATTTTCCACAAGAAATTAAGCCGAATAAAAAAAATGATCAAAATCGACCTCACTCTAGGTAGTTCGGTTTTTAATTTTGAATTTGAAAATTGACCGAATTGATGTAAGAAGATCAAAACATGCTAAAATGGACCAAAACTGAACAAACAACCTAACTAGGGACGAACCTCGTCTGGAACCTTATTTTCGACCCCAATCCCGATTCAAAAACGGGTCAAACCAGGTTCGGTCTCGAGACCCGAGCCTCGTCCACCCTTATAGTGAAGCATGAAAGCAAGCATTTCGAATAGAAATTTAAAATAGATGCAATCGTACTCAAAAAATTCATTCAACAACACATGTTTTATGTATAAATTAATATTCCAAAGTTTTAGCTAAAATTTAATTCTAAATAATACCCATTTCAACTTTTTGAATGTTTTTATAACTAAAATTATGATAATTGAAGATATGTTACTGGAAGGATTTTAGGAAACTATTCTATTTAATAACCTCTCTTCCATTTAAGAATAAAGAATCTTCTAAGCGAGATTCTTTATTCAATTCCTGCAAGATTTCTGCAAGATATCTTCACGCAAATTTTAACTCTTGCATATTCCTGCAAGATTTCGACAATCTCGTACTCCCTCCACGCCATAAAACTTGGCCAAATTTCATTTAATTTGAAAAAAAACTTTTTAGTGAACTACACATATCCCTCTAAAAATGTTTTGAATTATATACGAAGTACTATGTATATCTTAACTATACAGTTATTTTTGAAAATTATTTCTCTCTTCTATAAATATCTTTTAAAACAATTCGACAATCTCGTATTCCATTTAAAATTATTTCTCTCTCTACTACATATATCTTAACTACACATTTTTTACTTTATTATTCTACGTGCAAGTCAACTTTGATCAAGTTTTATGGACGGATGAAGTATATACTTTCGTACTCACATGTAGTATGATCGTGTAACTAATAAGTATATCAAGGATTATATCATCATAAAGTACACGCTCCATCAAATAATATATTAGAAAAACGTCATCATTGTTTATATTTCCGTCAGAAAGTGTTCGTTTTAGTGGAAAGTTCCTTAACATGGATAAATTTATTGGTTGTTGAACCTGGTTTGCAAATAAGTAATGTTTCAAGACTAAAAATTGACACCACTAAAAGTTACATGACTATATATAATCTATAATTTTCTCTAAACAGATATTAGAATTTATTCAACCATCATTTAAGAATATGTAAAGGGGTAAACATATTTTTAATAGTGTAGGTGGGTAGGCAATAATGTATCAAACTTCAAGGGAGTGTGAGGAGGTCAATGATAATTTCTCTCTTGTATGTAATAGTGACAAATGCAAATTTAGCTAAACTTCTTCAGGTTAATCAAGTTTACACAAAGAATGTATATCAGTATAATAGTTGAACCAACGTCTTACAAGATATAAACATAAATATGCGCACTACCTAAAACATTTATCTCAAATTTTGCTTGAATTCGGGGTTCACATAGTAGATAATACCACACGAAATCTAATGGTGTATTTTGTTTTGTACAGGGGAATTCTGGAGGACCTCTTGTAAATATAGATGGAGAAGTTGTAGGTGTCAGTGTTTGGAAATTTGCAACGAGTAAATATTCAAATGAAGTATTAGCAACTCAGGGTCTGGGATTTTACGTGCCAATTGATTCAGTCTCTAAGATCATGGTTGAGAACTCCACGCGAAAAGGATATTGATCATAAAAAATTTTAGTATCAACATATAATTTATGTATGTATGCGTGTATGTATTTATGTATGTACAACTATCTTTGGTACTTTTTGTGCGAAAAAAGGTAAAACATACGAAGTATATGGATAACTATTTCAAATATGTTAAAATAGTGTACACATTGAATCAACCAAACAACTTTTTTTTATGACCTGAATGCACTTTATGCATTTGAAGTTTGCATACTTATAAGTTACTCCGTACAACAAACCAATAATTAATGAGTCTTTTTTTACTTATATTTTGGTTATATGCTCAAGAACTTATACTCGCTACACTCTCAAAAAATGCCCTATCACTTTAACTACATAATTTCTACTTTCATATGCACAAATTTAAAATGCACAATTTTTAATTTTATGCTTGACGTGCAAATCTATTTGTGCCAACTTTAATGGGAAGGAGAGAATATGTGAATGATATGTTTATAATACGGAGTAAAAGAAACAAAGTTTTTACCCATATAAGGGTACTTCTAAACTTATTTCCAAATAGAGGTACTTCAACACTTATTTTCCATCTATTTATGTGACTATCTGTCATGCCCCATGTGCACTGTGCACACATTATACCATTGGAGATACTCTAAGAGCATCTCCAATGCAAAACCGTGAACGCTGCATATGTGGCATACGAGATAGCCAATTAAAAAAACAAATAGAATATTCATCTCCTTATTTGAACCGTCTTATATGATTTTGGTAAGTTTTTCTCCACAATGTCAAACACAATGAGATGTAGACATTGTGCTTGACATTGTTGAGAAAAACTTAACAAAAACACACAAGACCGTGGAATGAAGGAGAGAAATTTCTAAAATTTAATCTTTTGTGTTTGTCTCTCTCATGCCACATGTGTACCGTGCACAATGTGGCATTGGAGATGCTCTAAGTGGACATGATCACAATGCTGATGTGGCGATTGACAAGACAAAAGCATCCCTGTTTTAGAAATAAGATTGAAAAGTATCCCTGTTTCGAAAAAAAACTCAATAGAAACTCGTCATAACTTATAAGTAGTGTACTTGATTAGTACCAGAAGCTCTTGTAAAATAATATAACCCTATGGTTTATGTATATAACTAAATGAATTCATTGGTTAAAGAAAACAACTTTAATATATTTGGACAACACATTACAATGGGCAATCGTGCCAACACATTTCACTGTTGGGAATAGGGATGGACTCGGGCCTGGCGGCCCGGCCCGGTCACTGTTTGAACCGGCCCGGCCCGGCGGTCCGGCCCATGGGCGGTTCGGGTCGACCCGGCCCGGTGGCTACCGGTTCCGGGCCGGGCCTTCATTTTGGTGAACCGGCCCGGCCGGTTCGGGCCCGCTCCGGGCCGGATTTATTTTTTATTTTTATTTTTTTTTGAATTTTTTTTAAGTTTTTGGGTTGAATTGGTTATTTTGGGCCATTTGAGGTGGTTTGGGGTGGTTTGGGGTTGAGGGGGAGGGTAGGGGGTTGATTAGGAAAACCCAAAAAAAAATTATATAGAACCGGAAACGGGCCCGGCCCGGCCCGAACCGGACCCGGGGTTACCCGGGCCGGTTCCGGGCCTCCCCTACCTTGAACCAAGGCCCGGCCGGTTCAAGGCCCGAACCGGGTCCGGCCCGGAACCGGTCCACCACTAGTTGGGAACAGTCCCGATCCAAATTAGATAACACCATCTCAGTGTTTCTATTCAGAGTCCAGCCCAAATAATGAAATGGTTGGTCTGGTCTACTGACCAAATTAGCCGTGGACGTTGTCTTATTATCCCACAAATGGGAGCTCGCTTTTAAAGGTATTATATATGTTTGGACCACATGGTTTTAGTTGAAGAAACTGGTCGTTCCTTTAGTTTTTATTGTTTTGTTTTGTAAAGCCCAAACATGTATGGAAAAAGATCTGTAACGAGAGTCGTAGACTACGTCTTCAAGTACCACGTTCAGGGGAAATTAATAGTAATAAAATCGTAGTAATAAAAAAGGATGAAAAGACAAGCAAGCAAGCAAGGCGTTATCCCCTATCACCAATTCACCATTACCATCAATTACAAGTTCTTCAAAGCACTCTCAAAATACAAAATATTGCATTGATAAGACCGATATAGCACGGCAAGGATCGGGCAGATACAATAATTGGCAAGACATTTCTTCTATTCACAGAAAGGGCGGCAGCCTGAAAAGACGGCTATCTCAATTGGGCATTCAAATCTCCAACCAAAAAAGGGGCCAAGGACCTTTTCGTGACCACCAGATAGGACTCTCACAAGGGCCAGTAAGGTGAGTAACCCAGTACGTTTGTCAAATTGGTCAACACTTCATGGCACTTCGTGAGAAGGCCTAGCATCTGTTGGGAAACATCCACATTGATGGTGGGGGTGGCAGCAAATGGGGCACTAAAATTATGCACATTTCTATGGGGCGTCATTTCTGTGAAGTGCAAATTTGTTGGTGTATTATGAAATTGAGTGGTGGTGGTGACGGTGGTCGAAATAATTGCGGGAGGAGAGGGCAACTGAGAAGATGGCGGAAGTATGACCTTTGAGAAAATTTTGATATTAGTAGTAGTAGTAGTAGTATCAGAAGATGGGGCAGCAGTTGTTTTGGTGTTCTTACTACTATCAATCAACAGCTCGGCTCTATTACTATCTTCTCCCCCCAAATCAAATTTTACACGGGGGATAGTCCCTCTATTATTACCGCCATTCCCTGTTTCTTCACTTGGAGGCAGCCTTTTCAGGCATGACTTCAGCTGCTGCTGGGGTGTGAGTCTGCCTCCTGCATGTGGCGGCAGCCTATCAGAGTCTCTGTTGGACTGCGAGCCTCCTCCTCCAGCAGCAGAAGCAAAATTGTCTTCTCTTGGTGGAGGCACAACCACAGTCTTGAAGGCGGCAGTCTCCGGTGGTGCATCCGCTTCACGGAGGGAACATTTGACGTCTGCATTGCCAAACAGATGTGTGGTACTCTCTGCGTATCTCAGCGCAGCCTCTGCATGCTTCTTGTAGCGGTACACAAGCCGGCATGTAGAGGACTTCCAGTAGACTCGTGTGGCGGAATGGTCAAGAGCCCCAAAGCGTGAAAACTTTACTTTGAGCTCAGGGATTGACGGGAGTGCCCCTTTAGGAGGGAACTTCATGATCAGCATGGTCGGCTCAGAGGACACCTCCTTTGCTGACAACGGACGCTGCTCTATCATCCTCCTCTTGCTCAGTTCTTCCCCGCCAGGCTTGAACACTACTTTTTCCCCATCATTCTTTGGTTGCACTTCGGAAATTCTTTGGGGACCCGCCTTTCTCTCTGCAGTCAATACCCTCAAATCGTTCATTTTCTTCTTCTTTTTGATAGAAATCTCCTCCTGCCTATCTGATGGGGCACGCTTTCGCTCACCCCTCATTGCATCATCATGCCTTGTGACAGAAGGTTTATGTGGCGGACGTGTCTTCAGCTCAGCAGGTGCACCATCAGAAGCAGCTGATAATCTACCGGAATGGGATTCTTGATTTGATTCATTTTCATCAGGTGATTCATTTCCTAAGCTCTTCCGATAAACAAGAGACCGGAAACGCAAAAAGGCGGTTCTTGCGGTTGCAGGACACCCCCTGGCCAGGTGGTAAAAGGGATTAAGAGCGAGAGATTGCAACTCACATAGCAGAGGAGAGAGATCTTCCCCATTTTTTATCCCTGTGGCTTCAAGGGAAACAGCTCCCTGCTCGCTTTGCTGATTTCCCTTCTCAGTAACAACTTCCCTCCTGGGGTCCACCAAAGAAACTGGGTTTGGATCTCCCCCTAAGATTAATGTCTGATTCATCACGACACTTCCTTCACCACCACCAGCTACTACCTTCTTCTCTGAGAAGCTTGTGTTCATGCCTGGAATTTTTGTCTTCTTTTTCTTTTTCTTCTTCTTCTCCTCCTCCAACAGCTGACTGGTTTCGGAAGTCACAGGGCGTTTACGATTCTTCACCTTTTCTGTCCCGCCAATAGAAGATACTTTAGACCCTTCAGACTGAGGTTTGGCTTCTGCAGGAAGTGGAATATGTTGCACTTCACCAACACAGTTTTCAACTTGCTGCAAACTTCTGGGTGATTCCTCTACAGCAGCAGCATTCTGTTTTCGAGGTTGCTCTGTATGTGCTTCAATAGAAGTGCACTTTGCTGCACCGTGAGTTACACTTAGAGGGATGTCTACAACATCAAAAGGCAGTGGGGTAGAGAAACCACCTGCTTGCACCTCACCAGCTCCTCGGCCTTTCACGTTCTCGGGTTCATCTCTGCGCTTAAATAAATATCTGTCCTTTTCAGTCTTATCTATCACTTTGTTATGTTTTGCTGAAGGTTTTCCCTTGCCCACAGCATCGAAAGAAACTACTCTGCCACTGAGAGAAGCTGTGAAATTCACGAAGTTGACATAAGTGGACAAAGATGGTGAAAAATAAAAAAAAGAGATTGAAATGTTTAGCCATAATTGACAGCATGGAAACAACCAATCATTCATATGCTGAAAGTCTGAAACTATGGTCAGCAACATTATAGGTCCTGTGATTCAGCATTTCATATAAATGTCATTATGACCAATTCGGGCAAAATTCTTAAGCAAACCCACTACATAAAACTCACTGATAGAGAGGACAAATAGTTCCATAAGATGATCAGCATAATATGAAAATAAGAAACTTCCAGCTTTAGTAACACACAATTATTGAATATAAACTTTTACAGTCTCTCTATCCTTTACATCTTTGCCAACTTTAACAGGCACATGGAAAAAAATTAAACCTATGTAGTTGACGCGTGTGTAAGAGAGAGATACTATTAACCACAAAGGCACAAACTAACTGCTTTAAATGGAAAGTGACATTTTGTACAACTAAATAGAAAGTTGGCAAAGTTTAGTGGAACGGAGGGAGTAGAAAAGTGGTAACCGTGTACTCTCCTTAACCTATTAAAATTTAACCTAATGACTATACCTCTCACTAATTTAGTTCCTGGACCAACTGACAAGAATATTAGTATTCACACGCAACATGGTGAATCTTCTAAAGTTTAATCAATTACTACTCCATGTAAGCTTAATAGTGATCTCATTGAATATTAAAACTACCACATCATTTTGCAAAAAAGACTTCTTTGTATATACTAAACTTTAA